GGAGGGAGCTAAAGGTGAATGAATCAATTCACACACATAGATACACACACACACACACACAAAAACAAACAAACAACAACAAAACTGGGGGGGGGAGAGGAAGATATAACAACCACAATTATTTTTTTTTTTAAGTTCTTACAACAAGCAAATGGAGGGGGCACACTTGGGTGGGAGGGGGGAGAGGGAGGAGGGAGGGAGGTTTCGGTGATGGGACATAACTACATTGTATATTGACAAAATAAAAAAAAATTTTTAGAGAGGTTCTATTCTCTTTTGTCCTTCATGGTTTCTGCTTAGAGGTCAGATATAAATCAGATTGACATTTCTGTATAAGTGATGTGTCATTTTTCTCTTGCTACTTTTAAGATTTGCTCTTCATCTTTTGTTTTTAACAGTTTTATTGTAATGTGCCTCAGTGTGAGTTCTTCTGCAGTTACTATTGTTGTTGCTCATTGAGAGTCTTGTAACTGTAAATTTCTGTCTTTCATCAAATTTGGGAGTAATTTAGCTATGCTTTCTTTAAGTATTTTTCTATCCCACTCACTTTCTACTCTCCTTCTGTGAGTCCATGGATACATCTGTTGAGTTATTTGATATTATCTAATAGGTCCCTGAGGTTCTGTTCATTGTTTAAGTCTTTTTTCTCTCTTCACATTTGTATAATTTCTGTTGATTTATCTTCAAGTTCACTTTCTTTACTTTACCATCGCCTTTTAGCTATTAAGTAGTCCATCTGGTAAATGTTTTATTTCAAATACTATCTTCTTCTGTTTCCAGAATTTTTGTTTTTCTTTTTATTGTTTTTATTTTTCTACTGAGATTTCCTGTCTTTTTATGAATTGTGAACAGAATATATGTTTTAAAATTCTGGTTTGCTAGTTCCAACATCTGGTTCATCTTGTGGTCTGATTCAGTTTTTGGGTTTTTTTTGTTTTTTTTTTTTTGAGAGGTGTAAGTTCTAGTTCCTTCCAGGCAGTGCATTCCCCAAATCAGGGATGTATATTATCGCCTGATAAAACAAACAACAACAACAAAAAAAACCCAGCACTTATTGGAGAATAGTAGCAATCCAGAGGCACTGCAGCCTAACATTCATAGCGCTCAGATACAATCTAAAATTCCTAAGTATACTAAAAGCCAAGAAAAAAATCAGGGGGGGAGTTGGAATAGAAAGTCTTGTCTCCATTCAGATATTTTGTCTTTAGCTGAGCGGCTTTGCGTTTGTTCTGTACATATGTTGTTCAGGGGTCAGTAAGAGATGTGAGTACACCGTCTCTGTCTCTTTTCTTTCTGGGAGCTCCCCACCTCTTCAGCAGTCAAATATTCCCCACCTTCAGTTTTCTGGTTCTTCTAACCAGAAATACAGTTGACCCTCGAACAACACAGGTTTGAACTGTGTGGGTCCACTTATACATAGATATTTTTCAATAAATACTATAAATTTTGTCTTATGATTTTCTTAATAACATTTTCTCTAGCTTTATTGTAAGAATATAGTATGGGAGTTCTTCAAAAAGTTAATGGAAAGATTCATATTATCTTTTTTTTTTCCTTTTTGTCTTTCTTCGTGACCGGTAACGGGATCACAACCCTTGGTGTCGCGCCCGTACCGCGCCCGGCAACGGGATCACAACCCTCGGTGTCGCGCCCACACCACGCTCAACCAGTGAGCGGACCGGTCTCTATATGGGATCCAAACCCTCGGCGGGAGCGCTGCCGCACTCCCAAGAGCCGCACTCTACTGAGTGCGCCACCGGGCCAGCCCCATATTATCTTTTAATTCTATTTTTCCATGAACTTTTTGAAGTACCCTCATATGTAATACATATGACATACAAAATATGTGTTAATTGACTATGTTATCAGTAAGGCTTCCAGTCAACAGTAGGCTATTAGTAGTTAAGTTTTGGGGAAGAGTCAAAAGTTATACATGGATTTTCAACTGTGCAGGTGGTCAGCTCCCCTAACTCCGTGTTGTTCAGGGGTCAACTGTACTGCCTAATGCCCACCACTTCACATGCACTATGTGGGCTTTTATTAGTCCCAGTCTAAAAGCCATGCAGATCGGAACTAGCTTTGTACAACTCCCTCCTCCTTGTGTGTACTTGCTAAAAGACTACCTGCTTCTGTTCATTCACCAGTCCCTTCATGTATTATGAGCAGATTTTTTTTGTGTGGGAGTCATTTGATATGGTCTCACTCCATCATTACCAGAAGGAGAAATCTGTGGTTTTTTTAAAAGATATTTCTGTTACATGTGTGTTTCTTTTTCAGAACTAAGACTAAAAACATACTAATGAGCTGGCAAATTTAGTCAGAAAACGTATATTCTCAAACCAAATCTGACATAATTTTAGGGTAGTCTTTTGTTGATAGTTATTTGTCTGTCTGGTAATATGGTTTTGGACTTTATATCACTCCCCCATGATGAAATTACACTCTATAATTTAACAAGGCACCAGATAGAGTAATAGTGAGATTGGGAAAGCATAAAAATAGAAAACAGTGGAATTTCTTTGAAATTCCTTGATAATTCTTTGAATTATCTTGCTGGTAGATTTACGTAAATTGCCAGGAAAGAGATTTATTTTCTCAGACATCCTTCGTTAGGCATTCTGTAATTCCTATATAAATAGTAAAATAATTTAAATTGATTTTATTAACTGTCAGTGAGGTAACTTTCTGCATCTTATCTACCAACAATATTGTTTCAGGAACAATCCCAAAATTGGATTTGTTTTAAAAATTGCATTTCTATCTGAATGGTGTATCAGAGTTTAAATATCACAATGAGAGTATTTATCATCAAAGTGCTGCATAAATAACAACGCATGTTCATTCTGATAGCCTTATGTCTTTTCTTTGTTTAGCAGCATGAATATGGTGGGGTAAGATAACTTCCTTTCTTTAAAACAATGTTATATTAAAAATCCACTTAAACAGTACATGTATGTCAATGAAAGGTCTGAAGGCTTTTATTTAGAAACCCAGGTAGGCAAGATTTACAGCCAAATTTTCCTTGAGGGAAAATTGTCTTTAGAAAACATTTTCCCTAGTTTGCACAGTCTTAGTATTATATGTGGAATATGTGGCAGTACATGTATTCGATTATCAATTGAATCGGTTAGTCATTGATTCAGTAACTATTTGAATAACTCCCATGTGCCAAGGTACCAGGTTCTTTGCTAGTGGAGAAAAAATGTGAAACTACAGTCCTTTCCCTAAAGAAATCAGGATCTAGTGGAAAGCCAGATGGGCAGGGAAGGCAGCTTGCCCCTGTGATGCGGGTTCATACATACTTGCAGACCTCTGAAGAAGCTGTGGTAGTGAAAGGGCCGTGTGGAGTCATGGAGAAAAGTCAGGCTTTGGAGACAGAAAACCTGGGTTCAAATCTTGAGTCTTACCCTCTCTGTGCCCCAGTTTCCCGTCTGTAAAATGGGGATGATGATGACACCCACTTCTCAGGTCCATGGTGTGGACTGATGGGATTGAGCAAAGATTCTAATCTAGGGCTTCCTAACAAAGTCTCCAGAATTCTGATGAAACGATTTCATCTCCCTACCTAAAATAAAATAATTATTTTAATGTGTCAGGAGTAGAACATAAATTCACATTTCTATACGGAAATCAGAATTCCAAAGGATAGAAGATAAACCTCAATCATGACACCTTAGGTAGCTCAGCTCTGTTTACATCCTTTATTTATTAATATTGTTTTATTAAATCAGTGGGCTTGCTACTGTCGATATTAAAGATAATGAGGCAATGACTAAGCCACCGCTGGAAGCCCCCTGGTCTCCCCTGCAGGAATGAGGGGGTGCCACAGGCCTCGACCATGACCCCTTCCTTCCTCCTCCCATTCTATTTCCTTCCCATCTGCTCACCCCCTCCCCCACAACTGCTCCACAACATCTTAGAATGTAAAAAATGATAATAATTAATTTTTAAAAAGATAATGAGGAACATCAAGATGTTTGAGGCACCAGTTTCATCGACTTCTGTGATCTCTGTGAAGGAATCTGTGCTCTTTGTACTAATTTATGAATTGGTAAAGCCCATCATAGTATTATTTTGAGGGGCAAGAAATACTGTATTTCCAGGGATTGCATTGTTTGGGGGCTTTTTAAAAAATCTCTTTTGGATTGGGAGGGGGATTGGAGAATATAGTATTGATCCTGCCTGTAAATGGTGTTTTGTTTACCAGTCAATGCATGGTGGAGATAAAGCCCATCCCCTGCCCATTCAGAAAGGGGAGAACATTTCCTGCTCTAAATGTGGTCGCCAGAATCTCTGGGGGATGTCCTTCTGCGGCTGGTGTGGAGCCATGGTGGGTATTTTAAAACTGAACTTCTCTGTCCTGAGCATCTCACCACTAGCCTAGAGAGAGCCAAGCTCTTCCATGGCCTTGCAGAAATTACTTCTTCTGATTTCTGTTTACCCAAGAATCTGGAGATAGAGATAATCCATTCTCTTACATTGAGAACCATCTCTCATTGCTGTTTTGATTTACATTTCTTTACGGTTAAATCTTTTCACTCATTTATTAACTATTGGCATTTCTTCTTTTATGGATGTGTTTGCCTACCTTTTTAATAAAACATTCAAAATCATTCATGTATTTATTTCTCTAAGTCACTATTGAATGTGAATAATAAAAAAGGTTTAGAGTGCAGGATGGTCTCCCTTCTCAGTCCCACAGTCCTACCCAGAAGCAATCACCGTTGCCCATTTCTGAGATGTTCTTTCAGCTGTTCAATGCCTTTATAAGTAAACTGGTGCTTACTGTAAACCTTTATCCTGTTCTTTTCCCCTAGCAATATAACTTGTTAGTAACCTCCTCATTCTTTTCAGTGGCTTCATAATATTCTGTTGTCTGTATGTATGTACTATGATATATTTATGGTATCCCCTTCTGCTCGACACTTAGGTCGTTTCCAGTTATTTCCACTAAAACCACAGTGCTGCAGGGAATGGCCTGGAAATTACTTCTTTATGTACTTGTCCACCTATAGGATAAATTCTGGGAGGTAGAATTGCTGAGTCAGAGGGTATGGGCATATGTTGTTTTGATGACTAGATATTGTACGATATGAGGATAATTTATATGGGAAAATTATAACTCTAATATTCATAAAAATATTTTCTATCCTCCAGCTTGGCACTACTGCTGGCTACTCTGTTTGCCCTAAATGTGGGGCCAGCAATCACCCATCTGCCCGATTCTGTGGCTCCTGTGGTATTTACGTGAAGTCCTTGGCAAGACTTAGCTTGGACAGCACCCTGGCTGCTGTTGCTGGGAATCCTCGCCCTTTTTCTGAGGTGAGGCCTCCACTCTAGTAAGAATTGGTTTCTGGGAAGAGGATGTACCTCTGAATTTGTGTACTCTACCCTATGAGTAAAACGTAGGGAAAGAGAGCCAAAACATTTAGACCTTTCACATGGACTTTCAGAGAAATTCAGTTTACGTGTTAAGCACTTGAATGATTTATTCAGAAATCAAAGATCTAAATATGCATTTTTCTATAGTAGATTGAGGTCTAATTGCATTTGCAAGGCAATGGACACAGTGCCACTGGGGAGAAGTGAATTTAAAACACACAAGATAGAATGTACTTCTATTGTCTTGAATTTTTTATGTGGCATTCCTTGAACTTTTCCTACTACTCTTTTATTTTTTTTATTTTAACATCTCAATATACATTGTAGTTGATTTTCGTGTCCCTTGACCTGTTCCTCTTTCCCCCGCCTCCACCCCCAACTACATCATATCTGTTCACTTCTCTTAACAAGTTCAAGAAATTGTTGTGATTGATGTGTCTTCTTCCCCCCAGTACCCTTTATTTGTTTGTATGTTTATTTATTTATTTATTTTTATTTATTTATTCTTTTTTCCTTTTTGTCTTTTTTACTGACCGGTAACGGGATCGCAACCCTCGGTGTCGCGCCCGTACCGGGGACTGGCAACGGGATCACAACCCTCGGTGTCACGCCCGGTTGCGCCCGCACCGCGCTCAGCCAGTGAGCAGGAACCGGTCTCCACATGGGATCCGAACCCTTGGCGGGAGTGCTGCCACGCTCCCAAGCGGCGCACTCTCCAGTGCGCCACCGGGCCAGCCCTATGTTTATTTATTTATTTATTTATTTTTAGCTCCCACAAATAAGTGAGAACATGTGGTATTTTTCTTTCTGTGCCTGTCTTGTTTCACTTAATATAATTTTCTCTAAGTCCATCCATGTTATTGCAAATGGTAGTATTCATTCTTTTTTATAGCAGAGTAGTATTCCATTGTGTAGATATACCACAGTTTCCTTATCCACTCATCTGATGATGGACATTTGGGCTGGTCTCTTTTATATTTTAGAAAACTTATATCAGGTATATGAGATTGCTTTGGTCACTTATAACATCTGGGCATAGTTTGAGGAAAATCTCACAGTTATTTTCAGAAGCATTTAAGCTCTAACAGCTTCATGTTAGCTTTTTATGAATTTTCCTAAGCTAGATAAAGACTTTCCAGGTTTCTTCTTATCTCTTCATTATAAATTGATAATTATTAGAGAGAAGGCACACGTCCTCAGCAGTTTGCCTACAGTTTTAGGGAGCTCATGGCCTTCTTAGCCCAGATTAAAAGATTTATAGATCCTGGGACTGCCACTAGCCCATATGATATCTTTGTACAATGAAACAAAGCTATTCTTTTCTCAGGATACTTGACTGCCATCTGTTGGAAATTGATTATAATATACTAATTTTGTTAGATATTTTCTTCCCTCTACCAGAAAAATTATCCTAATAAACATGCAAATATACAATGTCCACCATGTGAATGGTGCCGCCTTAGATGCAGTGACATTTTGCAGTACACAACCTACACAACCGTACATGGTAGTCTTCTCAGGTCCCCATGTCTACATGCAGGAGAGTGTGTCAGAGAAAATTTTGGTACCCAGTAGTTGAGTATAGATTGGTAGTGAAATCTATGTGATTGCAGAGCTGAGGGGATAGATATCTTCCAGACTTTGGGCAGAACAGGAAATATCTGTTGAATTTGAGACAGTAAATGGCCAGGGAGATGTGGCTGACTTTATGGATCAGGCTGGGAGTTGCTGGGAAAGACAGAAGCAAGGGCTAGAAACCCTCTTTTAGCTCCAAGTACAGTTTTTTGGAGATACTTTTCATTCTGAGTAGAATCGTTTTCTATGAGTAAAATGGAGGGTTAAGTAAACTATATGCTAACTTTTCATGTTTTCACCTTGCTCGTAGTGCCGATCTGCCTGGCAGTCCTTAAGTGCTTCTTTGCCCAAATCTGATGCTGAGACTAAGAAGCACATAGGCACACAGACTGCTGGCCTGTTCTTCCCATCCGGCAAGCTGCTAGCAAAAAAGAAACTGGAAATGGCTTCTCAAGAGCAGAGGCAGGAGAAAATGAGTGACCACAAACCTCTCCTCACAGCCATCAGCCCAGGAAGAGGTGAGGAGGAGGACACACTTTCTTCTGGTCGGGAGGAAACTCACTCTTTCTCTGAAAGAACATTTCTCTTTTTCTTCCTTTTAGATTTATTCTTATGTATAAGAAGTAGTTCCTTGTCTTTTCTCAAATAATTTTATTTTTATGAATAATAGCTCTTCCTTAAACTTTTAGTATTCTGATATTTTAACTCATAGCCCTATTGTCGAGTTTGTCAATCAGCACATGTGGATTTCTTCTGTTATGGTAGACATATTGTGAGTCTGCATCATCCTTGCCACCTGCCATTGTCTCTATTTTTTTATTGTGGTTAAAGTCACATATTTTAACCATTTTATCTTTTTTTTTTTTTGAGGCTGTCCAGTGCAGGAATGTTACCCTGGACCTTGGTGTTATCAGCACCATACTCTAACCAACTGAGCAACTGGCCAGCCTATCAACCATTTTAAAGCATACAAATCAGTGACATTTAGTACATTAACAATGTTATACAGCCATTACCCTTGTCTATTTTCAGAACATTTTTATCACCCCAGAAGTAAACCCCATACTCTTTGCAATCACTCCTCACATCCCCTCTCCCAAGTGCCTGTTAACCACTAATCAACCATCTCACCTTATGGATTTGCCTGTTCTGGGCATTTCATATGAATGGAAGCATATGATATGTGTATATGGTCTTTTGTGACTGGCGTCTTTCACTTAGTAAAATGTATTCAAGGTTCATTTGTGTCGTAGCATGTTTCAGTACTTCATTCTTTTTTTTTACGGCTGAATAATATTATGTCGTATGGTTATATGACGTTTTGTTTATCCATTCATCAGTTGATGGACATTTGAATTGTGTACACTTTTTGGCTATTATGAATATTGCTGCTGTGAACATTTGTTTTTCTGTGAATGTATGTTTTCTTTCTTTTTTTTTTTTTTGTAGCTGACAGTTATGGGAATCTGAACCCTTGACCTTGGTGTTATAACACCACACTGAGCTAGCTCTCTTGGGTTTATACATAGAAGTGCAATTGCAGGGTCACATGGTAACATCTGTTTAACTTTGTGATTAGCTACCAGGCTGTTTTCCAGTGTGGCTACACTATTTTACCCTCTGACCAACAGCCTGTGAGGGTTCTGTTTCTCCACACTTTGCCAACACTTGTTATTATATGATTTTTTCATTATAGCCATCCTAGTGGGTGTATAGATGTATCTTGTTAATAATTTTGGTTAGCATTTCCCTGATGACTAATGACGTTGAGCATCTTTTTATGTACTTATTGGCCATTTGTATATTTTCTTTGGAGAAATGTCTATTCAGATGCTCTGCCCATTTTTTAATTTGGCTGGTTGTATTTTTGTTATTGAGATGTAAGGGTGCTTTATATATTCTGGACGCTAGACTCTTATCAGATATATGATTTGCAAATATTTTCTAGTATTCTGTGAATTGTCTTTTAAGTTTCTTGATATGTCCTATGAAGCAAAAAATTTTTAAATTTTGATTAAGTCCAATTTTTTTTTTTTTTTTTGTTCCTCCAATTTTTAGTGTTTTATCTAAGAATCCATTACCAAATCCAGGTCACAAATATTTACCCCCATCTTTTCTTTTTATAGTTTTAGCTCTTACATTTAGGTCTTTGATTCATTTTTAGTTAGTTTTTGTTATAGTGTAAAGTAAGGACCCAAATTCATTCTTTTGCAGTTGCTCCAACACTATTTGTTGAAGAGATGATTTTCCCCCATTGAATGGTCTTGGCACCCTAGTGAAAAATCAGTTGACCATAGATAACATGGTTTTATTTCTGGGCTTCATTTCTTTTGCATTGATATATATGTCTGTCCTTATATCAGAACCACACTGTTGATTACTGTTGCTCCATAGTAAGTTTTGAAATCAGGAAGTGTGAGTTCTCCAACTTTGCTCTTTCTTGTTTAAGATTGTTTTGGCTGTTCTGGGTCCTTGAGTTTCTGTACGAATTTTAGAATCAGCCTGCCAGTTTCTACAAAGAAGCCAGCAGAGATTCTGACAGGGATTATACTGAATCTGTAGATTAGTTTGGGGAGTATTGCCATTTCTACAGTATTATGTCTTCTGATTCATGAACGTGGGGTGTCTTTCCCTTTAAGATGTTCTTCAGTTGTGTTTTGTAGGTTTCAGAGTAAAAGTTTTGTACCTCTTTTGTTAACATTATTCCTAAGAATTTCATTGATTTTGATGCTATTGTAAATGGAATTTTCTTAATTTCGTTTTTGGATTGTTTGTTGTGCAAGTGAATAGAAATACCACCGATTTTTGTATATTGATCTTGTTTGTATCTACAACCTTGCTGAACTTTTATTAGTTCTAATAGTTTTTTAGTGGATTTCCTAGGATTTTCTTCTTCTTCTTCTTTTTTTTTTTTAAAAAAAGATGACCAGTAAGGGGATCTTAACCCTTGACTTGGTGTTGTCAGCACCACGCTCAGCCAGTGAGCGAACTGGCCATCCCTATATGGGATCCAAACCCGTGGCCTTGGTGTTATCAGCACCGCACTCTCCCGAGTGAGCCACGGGCCGGCCCCTAGGATTTTCTATGTACAACATCATGCCATCTGCAGATAGATACTGTTTTCTTACTTTCCAATCTCAATGCGTTTTATTTCGTTTTCTTACCTAATTGGCCTGGTTAGAACCTCCAGTATAATGTTGAATAGAAGTGGTGAGAGCAGGAATCTTTGTCTTGTTCTTGATTTTAGGTGAAAGCATACAGTTTTTAACCATTAAATATGATGTTAGTTGTGGGTTTTTCATAGATGCCCTTTGTCAGATTGAGGATTTCACTTCCTGTCCCTAATTTGTGGTGTGCTTTTACCATGAAGGGGTATTAGATATTGTCAAATGCTTTCTCTGCATCTATTTAGATGATCATGTGGTTATTGTTTTTTTATTCCATTGATATGGTGTTTTACATTAATTGATTTTCAGATGTTAAACCAACCTTTCATTCCTAAGATAAATCCCGCTTTATTGTGGTGTGTAATTTTTTTCATAGTTTTTGTATAGTAGTCCCCCCTTATCCAAGGGGTTTATGTTCCAAGACCCCCACTGGATGCCTGAAACCTAATAGTACCGTGTCCTATATATATTCTTTTTCTGTATACATCCGTTACCTGTGATAAAGTTCAATTTATAAATTGGGCACAGTAAGATATTAACAACAATAACTAATAATAAAACATAGCAATTAAGTAAAATAAGGGTTACTTGAACACAAGAACTACAATACTGTGACAGTCAATCTAATAACCAAGATAGCTACTAAGTGATTACTGTGTGGGTAGCAGATACAGCATGGACACACAGGACAAAGGGATGATTCATATCCCAAATGGGATGGAGCTGGATGGCGAAAGGTTTCATCACATTACTCAGAAAAGCACACAATTGAAAACTTATGAAATATTTATTTCTGGAATTTTCCATTTAATATATTTGGGCCATGGTTGACAGCCAGGTAACTAAAGCCACAGAAAGTGAAGCTGTGGATAAAGGGGATATCTGTATTTAGTTTTTGGTGTGGTTTGAATATGTCCCCTTTAAAATTCGTTTTGAAGTTTAAACCCCTTGTGGTGGTATTAAGAGGTGGGGCCTTTTGGAGGGTGATTAAGTCATGAGGGCGGAGCCCTCATAAATGGATTAGTCCCTTACAAAAGGGCTGGAGGGAACTAGATTAGGCCCTTTTTTGCCAGTCCACCCCTCCACCATGTGAGGACAGAGTTTTTCTACTCTGGAGGACACAGCAGCAAAGCACCACTGTGGAAGCAGAGAGATCAGACCGTCATCAGACACTGAAATGCTGGCACCTTGATCTTGGACTTCCAGCCTTCAGAACTGTGAGAAATAATTTGTTTTTTATAAATTACCCAGTCTCAAATACACTAAAACAGTTTGCTAGTATTTTATTGAAGATTTTTGTGTTTATAAGAAATATTTGTCTGCAGTTTCCTTTCCTTGCGATGTCTTTGTCTGATTTTGGTATCAGGCTAATACTGACCTTACAGAATGAGTTAGGAACTCTCCTCTCCTCTTCTTTTTTTGGAAGTGTTTATGAAGAATTGGTATTAACTCTTCTTTCAATGTATAGTAAAATTCATCTGTGAAACCATCTGGGCCTGAGCTTTTTCTAATGGATAATTTTGGTAACCAATCTATTTCTTATACAAATTTTCTATTTCTTGTTGAATCAGTTTTGATAGTTTGTGTATTTTTAGATATTTATCCATTTGATTTGATTTATTTGTTAGCATACAATTATAATATTCCTTCATAATCCTTTTTATTTTAGTATAAAATAAAATAGCATACAATTATTTATAATTTCCTTCATAATCCTTTTTGTTTTAGTTGGTAGTAATTTTCCCTTTTCATTTCTTTTTTTTTCTTTTGAGATTTTGGTTGCTATTTTATATACGTATTTACTTTTTTATTTTTTAATTAACGTAATAATTGTACGTATTTGTGGGGTACAGAGTAATATTTTAATGCATGTTTACACTGTACGATGATCAAATAAGGCTAATTAGCAAATCCATCACTGCAAACATTTATTATTTCTTTGTGATGAGAACATTTGAACTTCTCTCGTCTATCCACTTGAAAATATACAATAATTGCTAATTATAGATACCTAGCACTACTATCAAATACTAGAACTTATTCTTTCTATCTAGATGTAATTCTATATCCTTTAACCAACTTCTTCCTATCTCCTCTTTCCCCTCCCTTTCTTTGCCTCTAGTAACCACAATTCTACTCTCCAGTAATTTAAGATATCTCTCTTTTTCTTGGTCACTGTAGCTAAATGTTTGTCAATTTTGTTGATATTTTCCAAGAATCAACTTTTGGTTTTTTTCAGTTTTCTATTTTTCTATTCTGTATTTCATTAAGTTCCACTCTAATCTTCATTATCTCTAATCTTCTTTATTCTTGCTTTAGGTTGAGTTTTCTTTTTCTAGTTTCTTAAGGTC